CACCTAGTATGATCAGTGGTTGTAGAGTTTTAAAAGAGGACGCGCTGCCAGATTTCATTAGACTATTTAAAAAAACACTGCTTAATGACGAATGTGTTGCATATCTTTTTGCATATCTTTCGATAGTTGTGCATAGAAATGGCCTTTCGATAGATGCTACTTTAACACGTTCAGTGTCAATTTGGTCTTGACTGGTGATCCCTATAAAAAGGCGAAGGACAGTCAACATATGGCTTGGCGTGCAACCGTGAACAGTGGATCTGGTTATGTAGGTTGTCTAACACAAATACCCAGTTGTGGATCTAACGATCAACCGGAGAGAGATATGGCTGAGTTTCATTAACACAGGCACTCACGTATCTATTCATGCTCTACATATATGGTGTGTTTCATTCTGCATTGCTATATCACTACATTTTTCAGTATATCAGCTCACACAAGTATAGCTGTACTGGAAACTTGTTAGACATTTTTTGTTCTCTATCATATTGTCACCTCATAAAGTTCAAAGATCATGATGGTGGATATGGTTCTCTTGAATATGACTAACTATCTCCTCCTTACCAAACTTCAACTCAAACGTTCTTCGTTCCGGGGTTTTAAACAACTTTATTTAGACTATTCTTATCGTTTTTCCGTTTTATAGTCAACGGATATTTATTTATTTGCTACGCAAGCTGCTCGCAAAATACATAGGCTACCTATTCATCATTAGGCTTTTGTTCAGTCCTGTTCATCTCCTATCACTTTGGAAAGCTCAGTTCGCCCTAAACTTGAATATTGCACTGATGTATGAAGCAGAGATTCGTCCACCCGTCTCATTTCCTCATTTGGTTCAACCTAAAGCCATTCGTCTCAACAGCGGCCGTACCATGCAACTTGCAGTCACTAGCTCACCGTCGAGCGATCTCTTCCTTATCCTCATTCTACCAATACTATTTTGGTTTTTGCTCTAATGAACTTACTTCTTCCGTCCCTCTCCTACTTTTTCTTCCGCGTAGGTCCCATAAATCATTGAATAGCCACTCACTTCAAGTAACTATCCCCAGGTGTCGCATTCCTAAATTTCAGTCAAATTTAACATCTATCTCCTCCACCATGATCAAGCCTCTTTGACTCGCATATTAAAAGCTCCTCGCAAACAATATGGAAAAGTAGGTGTTTAATTCAAGACCGTCAACTATTTGCTACGATTGATCAAAGAAAGGGGATAAAAGGTTTGTGTTTGTTTACAAGATAAACTAAACGTAAACCAACAATCGTCTGACCTCAAATGT